CCCGCGTCGCCTTCTTCAGCTCCCCATAGCTGAATCTTTTGAATCCTGTTGCCGCAAGTACGTAGCCCTGCATATCCTCATTGGAATTTTGCTTGGTACTACGTAATAATCCCAAAACCAGAAGGATACAAATGATCTCAAACCCTCCAACTCCACAGGCAAACCACAATAGGAACTTCACTGAACCAGTTACACTGGCTTTTACATAATTTCTATCTAGACCAACAACTGTCCCTAGGCAATTTAACCTATACTCTTCTTGGGGCTTCTGGTAAGATAATAAATGGTTTTTTGGCACTCTCAAATACAAGTCTCCAAAAAAGCTAGGTGATCTGTATCCATTGAGTAACACCGTCTTCGGGTAACAGCTATAAGTCGGTTTGCCAGGGATACGAGAGTACTGAAATCCTTTGCAGTTGCATAGTTTCAAGCACAAGTTCTCACAATCCTCGTAGGTGTAATTCGTGAAGTAGCCATAATCATACCCGAAAAACTCAAGCTTTGAAAGTTTAAAGAAAGTGGACTCACCTTTGCTGCAAGTGTAATTATATTGAGGCTCACAACCATAATTCCAATCAGTATGGTTGATCAAACGGTAACCTGGAATGCAAGAGCATTTCCTACCATGACCAGGATCATAGCTACAGACGCTATTAACTCCACAAACGCCATGAATCTTACATGGATCGGAAATGACTTGCCCTGAAACAGCCCATTTGTCTCCTGGCTTTTTCCTGCTATACAACCGAACATTTCCATCAGAATCAACAGTCAATCTTCTCTGTGACTTCGCACCATAATCAGCTGCCATTAGTGTATATTTATCAGATGAAGTAAAATTGCCCAATGAATCTAGCACTGCAATTCTACTGCTATTGTCTGTGGACCTTCCAGCATCCTGGCCTGCAAGCCATGGCTCAAACCAATAGACACTTGAAGTCTGAAGGCCATCATAGAGTAGACGGAGGAGGTTGTCATTGTCGAAGAAAAGCTTATAGAAACCAGAGGAGAAGTTGCTCTGGCTTCTCATGGAGACAAGAATTGTGTTCCTGGTGAGTGGTTGGTGCGGAAGAAGGGTGTCAGTTGGGAACTCAAAGCTTTGCCATAAAACAGAATGATCCGACTTCTGTAAAACCAGGCTACCAGAATTTTGTAAGGTTAAGTGCACTGGTGAGAGTGAAGTGGTGGTTGTGGCCCAAACATTGGACTGACCAGCATCAGTTAAGATGAGATTACCAGTTTTTAGGAGGGAGAGCTTTGAGCGTTTCCCATTCACCGGTTGGTCTCGGTTGGCCATCCAAACTATTGTGCGGTTTTGGTAGTGGTCAGATGATGAAGGCTCGGTGAACCAAATGGCAAAGCAAAATGAGTTGTTGCCGACTTGGTGAAAGCCAGCAGTGAAAACACCATCAGCTGAAACTAACACATCTTCTGGTTTCTCAACAGAGAGGGAGGAGCCTCTGCTCAAACTCAAAGAGTCGGAGGTTGAAGACGAAGGTGGAGAATGAATGGCCAGAGAGAGAAGAAAAATGAGGAACAGAGTACCCATTGGAAATGAAAGCGGAGCTTTGGCTGCTACAGAGGCATGTGCAGAAGTAAAATACTAGTGTGTAGTAGCAGTAGGACCAACACCCACAATGATTTTGACTTTCTTCAATTGCGTTGCCGCCGGAGACCAAGGTTGAGGAAAATTGGAAGCATCCAATAAACACGCACTTTTCTACCGCCTAAACACGCACTTATATTATATACATCCAATCCAACTACGCTCTAAATACGCTTCCATTATTTGATAAATAAAGTTAAATCAACCCGCCCGATACGCGTTAGGAAACCTGCATAAACAGAGCCGCCTCTTTACCCAAAAAAAAATAGAAACAGACCATAACATATTTAACATGTGGCTGTCATTGTTTTGTAGGACCACAGCTATAAAGATTTTTACTTGCAATTGGGACGGAGACCAGGACAGGTTATGTTTCATCTTCAAGCCGTAAGACTCGTTCTTTCTAGCGATGGCCTCCCGGGTCCACTGGAGTGACTTTCCTTATTTTTTGTCTTGCCTTGTTTTGGTGTTGCTGTTTTTCTTTTTTGGCCCCTTTTTGTTGGGCGCCGGTCCTTGTTCTGTTTGTTTTTTGGCCTGCTTTGGCTTTTAAGGGAGTTTACTTCGACTCAAAAAGAGAGTCATTGTTTGAATGATCCAAAAATTCCTCAATTATTTCGTTCATTAGTGTGAACTGAGAAGCTGCGTACATATTGCAAAGAAAGAAAGACTTAAACAAAATCACTACTATCATATTTGCTGCTGAGCAAAGCTGAGCACCTTGGACTTTCCAAGCACCACAACCTCATAAGATCCAAACGTCTTGCCTAACGGTGTTACCCTTAATCCTTGTCATGGTGCAGAAGCGTCTCAACAACTTGTCTCATAGTTGGTCTTGCATCTTTGTCTTCCTCTACGCATTGTAAAGCGACCCTTAGAAGAATTTCCATCTTCTCCACATCGTATTCACCTTCGAACGAGGGGTCCATGATCATTCCCATCTGTGGTCCAATAGCACTAGTTCCATATACCTTCTCCCTAACAGACATGATCAGTCTTCTCTGCTCCCCGTCAATAGCACCCACGCCCATTGTCGGGTTCTTTCCGGTTACCATCTCCAACACAACAATCCCGTAGCTGTATACATCCACTTTGGATGTGATGGGCAGATTGTAAACCCACTCTGGAGCAATGTAACCTCTGGTTCCTCTTATCCTCGAAAAGCTCAAATTCTTAAGCTCCCCTCTGTTGAATAGCTTGGAAAGGCCAAAATCAGCCACCTTTGGTTGGTAATTCGAGTCCAAGAGTATGTTTTGAGGCTTGACATCACAGTGTAAAACCCACTCCAAGCACTCTTCATGCAGATAAGCAAGACCTTTTGCTGTGCCTACAGCAATCTCAAACCTCTTCTCCCAATTAAGAACATTGGAAGACAAATTGCGTGCCAAGGAACCATGCTCCATGTACTCATAAACAAGCAGCTTTCGCTTTCCCTCTGAGCAGTATCCCCACATTTCTATCAAGTGCATATGGTTCAGCCTCCCAAGGGTGCTAGCTTCAGCTAGAAACTCAGCTTCTCCTTGAATAGCTTCATTAAGCAACTTAATTGCTGCAACTCGTTCATCAGCCAATACACCCTTGTACACAATTCCTCCGGCACCTCTTCCAATTTCTTCACTAAAACCCCATGTCGCCTTCTTGAGCTCCGCATAGCTAAATCTTTTGAACCCAGTTGCAGCAAGAAGATATCCATCATGCATATCCTGCTTGGAACTTTTCCGAGTTCTACTACTTAACAAACCGAAAAACAAAAGGAGACAAATGATCTCAAACCCTCCCTAACATGCTTTTTTACGTACTGCCGGTCAAGATAAATAACTCTGTCTGCGCAATTAAGCCCAAATTGTTTTAGGTACTTCATGTCAGAGTGATTTGAGAAGAGGTAGTCTTTAGGCAGTCTCAGATAGAGGTATCCTTGTAAATCCGATCTGCGACCACTTCGTAACTGCGTCTTCGGGTTGCAGTTATAAACACCACTTCCACTGTCAAATGTGTATTGGAACCCCCTGCAGTTATACAGGTCCAAGCATATGCTCTCGCACTCTCCATAGCTGCGATTTTGGTAGGAGCTATAATCGTAACCAGAGAACTCAACTTGAGAAAGTTTTAGGAAACTGGACTTATTAACTTTGGTGTAAGAGTGGTTGAATTGTGGTTCACACCCAGAAGACCAATCAGTATGATTTATAATCTGATATCCTGGAAGGCATGTGCATTTTCTACCAATACCAGTGTCATAGCTACACACGCTGTTTGTTCCGCAAATCCCATGGATCATGCAAGAATCCGAGATGGCCTGCCATGAAACTACCCATTTCTCTCCAGAATTTTCTCGACTATACAATCGAACATTACCATCAAAATCAATCCTCAGTCTTCTCTGCCGCTTTGCGCCATAATCGGCTGACAGAAAAGTCAAGTTGTCTGATGAGATAAAACTACCTAAGGAATCAAGCATGGCATTTCTGCTGTTGTTGTAGGTGGACCTTGCATTATCCCAACTCACACGAGAAGGGTCGGGCCAATAAACACTGGAAATCTCGAGACCGTCGAAAAGAAGACGAAGAAGGTTGTCATTGTTGAAGAACAGCTTATAGAAACCAGAGGAGAAGTTGCTCTGGCTTCTGGTGGAGATAAGTGTTGCTTTTCTGGTGAAGGGCTGGAGTGGGAGGAGAGTATCAGTTGGAGAATCAAAGCTTTGCCATAAAACGACACTCCCCGAGTGAAGTAAAACCAGATTACCAGAGTTTTGGAGGCTCAAGTGAGCTGGTGAGAGGGAAGTAGTGGTTGTGGCCCAAACAATGGACTGACCCGCATCAGTTAAGATGAGGTTACCAGTTTTTTGGAGGGAGAGCTTTGAGCGTTTTCCGTTCACCGGTTGGTCACGATTGGCCATCCAGACAACGGTGCGGTTTCGATAGTGGTCGGAGATTGATGGTTCTGTGAACCAAATGGCAAAACAAAATGAATTGTTGCCCACTTGGTGGAAGCCAGCAGTGAAAACACCATCAGCTGAAATTAAAACATCTTCTGGTTTCTCTACAGAGAGGGAGGAGCCTCTGCTCAATGAGTCGGAGGTTGAAGAAGAAAGTGGAGAATGAATGGCCAGAGAGAGAAGAAAAATGAGAAACAGAGTACCCATTGCCATTGTAAATGAAAGGGGCACTGGCTGCTACGGAGGTATTTGAAGAAATACTAGTCTGTAGAAGTAGGACCACGCCCCCGACAAGGTTTTGAATGTCTTCGATTGGGTTGACGGAGAACCAACGCTGGGGAAAATTGGAAAATCCAACCGCCGCACTAAATACGCCTCCATTATTTAATAGATAAAGTTAAATCAACCCACCCGATGCGGGAGAAATTATTGAATATTATAGATGTACCACGTTAGTATGTGATACTTCCATTCAAATATTGCTATGTGTCCATTTTAAAATATAAATTAAACTTTTTTACAGCTGGATTTATTTCTTAATTTTTATAAAATTGAAAAACTTCAGAAAAAAGAAAAAGAAAAAGAGAATTCCCAACCCCTCCCGAACCCAGCACCTCTAATCTCAAAAACATGACATGACCGCCACCCATCTCCACACAACCTGCCATGACTGCCACCCATCTCCCTTCCTCTTCCTTATCCTCTTCATTTTTCCTGTTCCTTTTCAACCCTTATAGTAATTGTAGGTAATGGAGTTCAAAGAGAGGTAGAGAAAACTAGTATTGATGATTATGATGATGATGATGATGAAATGGAATTGTGGAAGCATTGGTGTTTGTGTTAATGGTTGGGAAATGTTAGAGTGAATGCAAAACAGAGAGACCCCTTGAGAGAATTGTTGTATTGTATTGATTGAAGTAATTGTTACCAAGGAGTTACAGTATTGGATATGGGTTTCGAAATAGTATGATGATGGGAAAGGTTGTCATCATCAATTTCAAAGAAAGGGGAATTAAGGAAGATGAGGATTTGGACGGCGGTGGCAATGGTGAAGAGGAAAAGAGACGGGGAGGAAGAGGAAGAGAGAGGGATGGCACCCATGGAACGTAGTGGGGATTTAGGGGAGGGGCGGCGATTGGGAATATTTTTTTTTCTTTTTCTGTTTTTTAAATTTCAAATTTTATTTCACAATATAAGTCCAGTTGTAAACAAATATTTAATTTCTGTTTTAAAATGGACACATGTCAATATTTAAATAGGAGTATCACATATTGATGTGGTATACTGTACTATTCTATAATTTCTCCCGATACTGAAGCCAAATCAAGCTTGTCAACAATTTTCCGCCCTTAATTATCGTAGGATTGCTAGGAATTTAAATAGAAAATTAGTTAAATATTCATTTTTAGACATAAAAGTTAAAACTATAAAAATACCGTATACTATTTAATGTATATAAACACACCCAAAATAAATCCAAAAATCAACAGCTGTATATTTTTTAATTTAATTATTAAGATGAAATACCTTTATTACCCTTTTAACATAAAATTGGAATTCCTAATAAACACCATATCAGAACTCACGACCTCCAGTCTCTCATCTTCAACCCCAATTTTCAGTTTTTGTTCTTCCACCTCAATTTTGACATCTCCGTGGGATCGACCTCGTATTTACATAAGCTATACTATAAACGGTTCATGCACTTGCGAGAATTAAAGTTGCTATTTTTAATAACTCATTTTAATTGTTAGGAATTGAATCAACATGTAAGGTAACTATTTCTTCTAATTCTAATTAATTCGTCTTTTGGATATAGGAAAACTAGAACACCCCTTTCCAAGCTCGTGGGTCAAAACTTTGTAGCCATCTCAGTTCAAGGAACATCAACCAGTAATGCTTTGGAAGATGGAGTTGACGAAGGCTCTGCCTTCAAGAATGTTAGTCCAAATGGCATGACAAAAGTTGAAGTCAAGGCATTGGCACTGGCAATCCATTAGATGCTGGATCTGTGAAAATTTTTGGAGGATTTACAACATAAGCAAATGGACAATGACTTGGCGGATTTAGGGGATGAAATGGCTCATGGTGCATTGGTGACTTGGCTCAGTATAAAATCCTATTCGATCTGCGATCTTCGATTTTGAGGTATTTGATTTTTTTTAATTTGAGTTCATATTCGATTTTATTGTAGTCTGATTTGGGTGATTTCATGTTCAATTAATTAAGTTGCTGGTTAAGTTTTCATAATTTTTACAGTTTTGGAGTTTAAATTTGAAATGTAGATCCAATTCTTCTTGATTTTATATGTTTATTTTTGTTATTGTCGATTTGGAGATAAGCTATTGGATTTTCTGATTTCGTTCTAATTTGTATTTAGATATTCGTTTGAGTTTTAAATTGTGATTTTAATTTCTTTTTGTTTATAATTTGGATTGATTTCAGATTCAGTTTGGTTGTGGATTTGCTTTTGTGTTTTGGTTTGAGCTGTGGTTACAAATTTGTGATATTTGATTTGGTTATCAGATTAATTGAGGTATGTTTTTTCAATTGAATCTGAGTATATTTGTGTTTTTTTTTTTTTTTTTTCTGTTTATGCACTATTGGTTTTTGAGTCGACTATAATTTGCTTTTAGGTAGCAGTGTTATTACCTTATATTGGAACTTTGCAGACATGTATTAGAAAAAGGATTTCATAAAAAAAAAAAAAAAAACCTTATACTGGAACTTTACAGTAGTAGACATGCATTAGAAATAAGATTTTATATGAAATTAGGAGTGTTATTACCCTATACTGGAACTTTACAAGGGGTAAACATGCATTAGAAATCGGATTTCAGAGGAATCTAGCAGTCTTATTATCCTATACTGAAACTTTACAAGGGGTACACATGCATTAGAAATAGAATTTCAGAGGAATCTAGCAGTGTTATTACTATATACTAGAACTTTACAAGGGTTATTCATGCATTAGAAACAGGATTTCAGAGGAATCTAACAGTGTTATTACCCTATACTCGAACTTTACAAGAGGTAGACATGCATTAGAAATAGGATTTCAAAAGAATCTATGAGTGTTATTACCCTATACTGGAACTTTACAATGGTAGATATGCATTAGAAATAGAATTTCATAGGAAACAAGCAGTGTTATTACCTTATACTGGAACTTTATAGTGGTAGACATGCATTCAAAATAGGATTTCATTGGAAACAAGCAATGTTATTACCCTATACTGGAACTTTACGGTGGTACATGCATTTGAAATAGGATTTCAGAGTAAACAATCAGTGTTATTACCAAATACTGGAACTTTACAGTCATTAATTAACATAAAAGTAAACTAGCAGTGTTAAGAATAGGTATATGACTAAATATCTCTTTCCTATTTAAGTTGATGAAAGCCGACCATTTTATAGTCCTATGCAATCAGTTCAATAATGAAAATCCAATATAGTTTCAAGATTTTGTCCTAGATTCGAATCTAAAATACTGTTATTACCCTAGACTGAAACTTTATAGTGGTAGATATGCATTAAAAATAGGATTTCATAGGAAATTAGGAGTGTTATTACCTTATACTGGAACTTTACAGTGATCGACATGCATTAGAAATAGGATTCCATAGGAAACAAACAGTGTTATTACCTTATACTGGAACTTTACAATAATTAATCAACATGACATGGACTAAATATCTCTTTCTTTTTTGAGTTGTTGAAAACTGACTATTTTATAGTCATATGCAGTTAGTCCAATAGTGAAAATCCAATATAGTTTCAAGATTTTGTCTTGGATTTGAATCTAAAATACTGTTATTACCATAGACTGAAACTTTACAACAATTAATCAACATTACAATAAATGTTTGGTTTTTAAATGTCTTACCTTTGAAGCCTTTTCTTGTTGAAATTGTTCTCTTAAATTTTGTTTTTGTTTTGTAGGTGGAGGTTAGTGTGCGGTATTGGTTTTTGAAAGAAAATCAAGCTTGGTGGTAGTTATGGAGTTTCAGTTTGCATAAATGATGAAGACGGTGAAATGAAGAGACGTTTTACAGAGATAGTTTAATGAAAATGCGTGCTTGAAGTTACGGTTTTCAAGACAGTTTTGTGTTGTAATAAAATGTTTGGACTTTTTTGTAACCCCAAAAAAAAATGTTTGGACTTTTTGTAACAAAAAAAAAATGTTCGAGCTTTTTTATAAAATTGGGCTGTGCTTGTTTTGGGTGTTTTTTGAGTTTTCTTTTTTTCTTTTTCTGTTGGGCATCAGTGGCAGTCATGTAATTTATAGGAACTTCAACACCAATTTCTCATATAGTAAATAAATTTTGGGTTTCTAAAGTGCATTCCATGTGAGGTTTTTTTTTTATATATAATTTCAGCTCCTATTTTGGGTATATTAGTGAAGCTCCCGAAATTAAAACCTACCTAAATGGTAAGGGAGGGTACGATGTGTTCTGGTTCGGTTTCCTCCAATGTAACCCAAAAATAAAATAAAATAAAATCTGCGTAATCAAATGGATCAATACGGTTCCAAAATTTATCGAGAACAAATCAGTAAAGTGTCGCAGCCCACAGGCAGGCAAAACTATCATTGCACAAAGGATACATTCCGTGTCCGGTAGAATTTTACAAGGCATTAGGCATGTTCTGACTACATAAGTTACATATTCTAAAGTTTGACATACCAGTTACATGAACATAGAGGATAGTAATACGTGCAACACTAGCAGATTAGGCTTCAACAGCTTTTGGAGCAAAGAAGTTGAAAACGGCGCTGAGACATCGCACAACAGCTGTAGTTATATGGTATTCTGTACAAATTGTTGCAAGTATGCCCTCGCTTAGACATCTGGTTTGTTGGTGCTCGCTTCAACAGCATCTGGTGCATGATAGGTAGAGAGGAAAAATGCATTCTGATTTTTCTGTAGGAACCTTCATGATAGCATGTATGATCAATCAGCAAAAGTAAAAATGACATCGACAAATAATAAAGTCAGGTACTTGTTGGAAAATATTCAATCAAATATCTATTTAGGAGAGCAAGTAGAAGACAGTACTTGAGAAAGTCGACCAATTTTTGCTGCAAATCTTTCAGTGTCTCCTCTTCAATGTTAGCATTCAACAATAACTCAGGGAGCTTAACTGCAAATACCAGAAAAATAACATCTCAAGTTCAAACTTTATGATGACTAGCACTCAATATAACAAAAGCTTAAACTACAAAAACTGCAGTAAGCAACCAAAAAATATTCAGCATGATGAATTTCAGAAAACATTTGGCATTCACATGGACGTTGAAATGTCATCCACCACATGCCCAGGTATCCAAAGCACCAGCATAATGTTCTGCTGCACTATAGATAAGTATATCGCAATGAAAATTCAATTTTCACAGGTAATCCACCATGGATAATTTTTTTTTTACTTTCAAATACCGAGTACATAATCACTTAAAAACACAATTTATGATTTGCACAAGGACAATATAAAAATGCATCTTAAGGAAGGAAAGGAATCAAGGGTTTTAATGTATTGGAAGGGATATTTACAAGTTCAACATAATTATTAAACATAGAAGTAATCTCCATCAGTAATTTAGTAGAAAATTAACATGAGAAACCACAAATTCAAGATCACACCAAAAATGATGAAAAGCACTTTTATTTTAACAATTCTATTTAGAAATACACCATTATGAATACAAATAATGGACTTTGCTATGCATTATATGTTCCTACCGAATAGACGTAGCAGATGCTCAGCACCATATACAGATGAAGGAGAGGCATCATGTGCAATTGCTTTCTCATACTGCTGACGTTCATTTTTGTACAGAAGCATTACTGGTAGTGCTTTGTCAAAGTAACAACATAGTCCTTTCAGGATTTCTTCAACTGAATGAGTTTTCTTCCTAGATTCACATTAAGAATAGTCCATCAATAAAAATCAGTGCCTGTATCCAAATTGGATTCTAGATAATAAAGAAGTTGAAAGTTATGAATGTTGTAGGTCCAAATAATTGAGTTAAGACCCCAACTTTCACCCGGTGGATAACCAGCCAGTAGAATGTATGAGAAGTGACATTGGTAATCCCATCCATCTCTTCACTCTTGTGAGGATAAAAAGTTAATTTACTCTCTCAATTAAAAAAAATTCAAAATGGATGTATTTTGTAATGGCACCCAAGAAAAGAATAAAAGAAGATTGGATGCAAAGAGATGAAAGGAAAGAAACTTACAAACTGTCCTTTGATCTGTAATCTAGATACTTCTTCATTATGTCATCCACGTTAGGAGTTCGTGGAAGTTTAACAAGCTGCAAGAATATGTGGATATCATTAACTGGGAATTCATTACGACTGAATATAGGAGTTTGTTTGGAAATTAAAAATGCGATGAGTGGATACATCGGAATTAGAAACTCACAAGTGATATGCACATACTGACAACTAGAGTGCACAAAGACTAACCCAGATATGCCAGACCCACCATTTGACAAGTATATGCCAGAACATCTCTAGTCCTACTGTAAATGCTCAAGTCATGTAGACCAAATATTCCAAAAGCAATTCATCCATCCTAGTAAGAATTCCATATGAAATATTTACTCTCTACATCACCATAACCAAACAAATAACAAAAGTTAAAACAATGCCTTTGACCATTCTGTAATGCGGTCTGAACATGAGATTCCAAGTTTTTACGATGTACCATTATCAGCACAAGCATGTAATTTACATAGTACGTTATTTAATCAATTCATTCATGGATTCAGTATTATGATAGAGGAACACATCTACCTTGCCCAGATGAGTAATGAATTCACAATCATCAACTAGTTGTTTCTTTAGTGTGAGCGGAATTTGAAGCACAAGATCTTCCATGGGTATGGCATCTTTGTCCTAAAATTTGACAACAAAAGAAGAAATCAAAACCTGCAACTTAAGGTTCATGTTGACTTCTAAATTAAATAACAAACCTCTTCATAGTGATCACACAATATCTGGAAGAGGTAAGCCTAGATAGGCAAACTACGGATCACAGAGCATACCTTAATGACAGAGTCATTCTTTCGCTTTTTTCCTCTTGAGACTGCACATAATTTCATATCAAAAGTAAGAGCAATGCATATTATATACACATTCATCTTGCAAGGGAAGTTGATATAAAATATATATATATATATTCAAAACCCAACCTCTTATCATCCTAATTCAAGAACCATAACCAATTTATGATCATGACTGAAGAAAGCATGCTGTTAAATCTTTTCATGAGGTAGTGGCCTATTAAGACTTCTTTTCTCCAGAGAACAAATTTGTTAACCACGTTGTTACTTTTGCAGTTTCTCATAACCATTATACTTACTCCTACCACTTCTTTCTTTCCACCTCTTCAAAGGACAACACTTATGGTCCTTAATCCTCTTCAAAGGGCAACACTTATGGTCCTCAAACCTCAAAGCTCACCAAAAAATAGGAAGGTTCAGGTCACATGCCAAAAGTTCTGCTTTGTTAGGCCAAACATTTCTGTTCTTCGTTCAAAACTAATGAATAAAGAAAAATAAATAATACAAGTTCTGCACTACATCTATCTTTTCGTTTTTAAGACACTACAAATATTGTAATACATTCCATACTTGCATGGAAAGAATAAATCTATAACTTTCAAAATCGGGAAACAGAAAGGTAAAGGTTAAAGATGATAAAGCCAACCATAATAACCTTTTTGTTTAGTCTGTGACGTGCGTGTTAGCTTTGCATTCTTGTGTGTTCTCTGGTTCGCATTGAGCTGCTTTTGTTTCCTCACATTCTCATCAGTGTTTTTCATCAGACGATCCAAGTGCACCCACTCATCCCAACTGTTGAGGACAGCAAAAGGGAGAAAAAGTCAAAAAAATAAAATGAAATCAAAAGTTTCAAGAGATTGTAACTGCATGAATAACCCATGAATGAATGGGAGAAACTTAATCAAAGTCTTCATCTTCCATGAACCTTCCAACCTCCCTCAATGCAATGATCTAATACTAACATCTGCCATGGTCTAATAAACATAATTTTCAAAGACAAAAAGGAAAAAGCAATACGGTGCAATAAGTGAGATGAAAAGACCCCTTAAAATGGAAAAAGATAATAAAAAATAACAAGAACGAAAATTGAAGTAGACCATGCTTCCAACATCCAAGAGCCTGGTTCAAGGAATGTGAAATCAAAACTCGTAAACGTTCTGGAATCATAAGTAAGCAGGAAGGCGGGCTCACTTTTTGCTCCATCCCTGCAGGATAGAAGAGTATACAATCAAGATGTAACCACAAAACGAGTAACTATATCACCCAAGCAATGTAACCCCAAAATGGAGGAAATGCCGAAGGAAGATTAATGGAAATCCAAGAGCATTCCACTTCCAAGCAAATTAAAAATTAAAAATTAAAGCTTACAAATGAAACAAGGAAGGTATAATCATTATAGGCATTTAGTAAATGTTTGATAGAGAAAATAAAAAATCATAGGAAGGCAGTTGATGCTTACGAGGTAATGAACATAAAATCTCCATTCGTTCATCTTGAAATCGACTTTGGTCACCTTGCAAACAAAACGCAAAGCACAGTGAGATTTACTGAAAATGTTCATCCGTGATCAATTAGCCAAAACGCTCTATTAAATTCGAGAAATTGCAATTAACCCTACGAATCATATAGAATTCAATCGCCGAGAGAGAGAGAGAGAGAGAGAGAGGGTGGAAGGGAGAGTGCGTGTCTGAAAATGAGTACCTTGGCTTCGTAAATTTGGGTCTCATGAAAAGCGAGCACCTTCTCGCCTTCGGAGAAGGGGCATGAATCGGGGGAAGGAGCTGAAACTTCTTCGTCTTCACCGTCGATCATGTCAGAATCGGTCTTGGTGGCGGAGCTGTCAGACTGGGTGGCGGACGAGTCAGTATCGCTAACGACAGTCTTGGAGCCTCTCATTTTGGTTTTGGGTGCTCTGTTGCTTCTGCTTAATGATTAATTAGTAAATTGATTAACATTAATTAACATGAACTCTCCAGAAAGTTCGATTGCTGTTTGCTTGAGAACTAGTCTGAGGCTTTTCAGTTATGGCGGTTCTTCTCCATCAGAGTTTGCTCCTACTTTATTTATAGTTACGGATGCACGAGTACGAGAAGACCCCCGGTGGATGGGGTTTTACTGTTTGCTTGTCCTTGATCGGTTGTGCGCTCCGGTTAAACTTAAAACGACGTCGTGTCTAGGATTTATATCGTAACGGGTAAATAAATAAAAAGCCATGTCGCCGGAAGCTGGCGGGAGCGTAAGCAATAACTTCGCGGTAAACTTTGGGCTTTCTAATTTTGGGCTTACACTGGATTTGGGTTTGAAGTTCTGGACCCAACCAAGAATCACACCTTTGACCGAAAAAGAAAAAACCAAAACTTGAAGCATATTCCAAATCTCATCATGAAGAATGAAGACGAGGAAGGTGGTTCTTGACCCATAAAATATAGAACATGAGGAAGGTGGTCATTGGTCCAAAGTTACATGAAGCAAAGTGAAACGGTTCATCGAATTGAGTCATTAAATCACATAGGTATATGACTCACACAAAGGGAAAGTCTATGTTAACTCCCCCTTCTAAAGCCAAGACTTTTGAAAGGAACATTTGAAACCTACCCAAAATATGTACTGAATTATTCAAGTGACATTACGATAGATGAACTACATTATCACCAACACATAATGACTGAAGAAAGGAGCAACGGATACTCACTCATTTCTGTCATCACATATTCTAACACGTAATTGCCCGACTCTAATACAATTGCGCTGACTAATGGATATTTTACTAGTGCCAATTGCAGGATAGGTTCCACATTGTTTGATGAAAACTAATAATGTTTTAAATGGGCTAGTGATATCTGATCGATTCATGACGGCTTAATGACTTTTCTAAGTTCATCCCATCTTCACATTCTTTATAATTATTTTATCTCAATTGCACTGTCCACCCAAAAAGCCCAAATTGAATGACAAGGGAAAGTCTGGTCTCCTTTTGAAAAGCTTTGAAACCCTAAATGAAACGGAGCAGCCCTACACTTAGGTAGGTACCTTCGGATGTATTTCCTTCCTGAGAATCAAGTTTTCATAAACAATCAATCTGAAACTACCACAGCAAACTTTACTCCTTGAATGAAAGAAAATAAAAACGCGCTTTTATAATATATTATCATGAATGTATACGATTACATCATTGCTGCATATATATAGCAGTTCTAAAATACAGGACACATTTTATTTAAATTAAATTAAGTTCTGTAACTGGTTATAGCTAGTCTTCTATACTAAGACAAGACAAAATGCTTTTAAACAACTACAAAAGTGAATAATAGCTCAAAGAGTATGTGGCAATGGCTACTGCTGCACTTTATTAGTTTCCGCCGCCGCCAGAGCTTGGACCAGATTGCTTGATCCCTCCAAGGGTTTCAGAATCAGTGAAGGCATGACCATTTCCTCCGGAGCTCGGGCCTTCATTCTTCATTGCACCAATATACACAGAGTGCTTGTTCCCTCCAAGGGTTTCAGAATCACTGAAGGCATGACCCTTTCCTCCGGAGCTCGGGCCTTCATTCTTCATTGCACCAATATACACAGAGTGCTTGTTCCCTCCAAGGGTTTCAGAATCACTGAAGGCATGACCCTTTCCTCCGGAGCTCGGGCCTCCGTTCTTCATTGCGTCAATGAACAGCCCATCAAACACACTCTCCATCTCCTTGTCTATGGAGCTCCATGAACGCCCCAGCATAAGAGGACGAGCTTCTGATATGACCAAAACCCTAGAGCTCAGAGTGAGAAGAACAAGGATGGAGCAGAGAGCTGGCTTGAAGCTTTTGATGGCCATCTATCTGGATGAATGAATATATATTGGGAATTGATCAAGGATGCTTTGATCAGGTTAAGCTTCTGGTGTTTCTGATTTGGGTTGGTTTGTAAGATGGTGGAGATTTGTGAGGTATAAATAGTACTGGCAAGGAGGTGGGAATGAGAGATTCATATTTTTGACTGCCAGGGGGAAGAAATGAGTGGGAAAGTGCATGGGTTTGTTCAAACACGAGGGGGTTGGTTGAAGGGATTCAGTTGAGGACGCAATGGATGGACTCATATACAGTAAGGTAGTCTAAGTGTAGGTGTAGAATATTTAATTTTGTGTGACAAACAAGAAAAAATGCTGTTACTATTTACTTAATATTATTAATCTGAGTATATGTTAAAGTATTATCCCTTTTGCCTTTTGAATCCGCCCACCCATGTTGTGAATATGTGGCCTCCGTAACTGCCTGCGTAAGATTGAAAAGATTAAAAAACACTGTAAAGGGTCGACGGTCCAAAATCAGTTGTATTTACAAGACTTTATGTTTTCAAGTCTGGACCTAGCTTGTGTGGCCTGGCCCAAGCCAGTATAACTGTGTAATGTTTCGGCTTAAATGTCAAAAAGAGTCTATCCGGTCTACTTATACGGCTAATTCGTATACCACATTCTTATACTACATCAATTAAAATTATTTAATATTTTTTTTCTTTTATGATTTATTCTAGTATTTATTTTTCGAATTATCTTAATTAAAATCACTTCATTGATTTAATTGATGTGGCATATAATATAGACACGCCACATCATGTGGGATAAAAATGTAGTAAGTGTAGCATTACTCTTAGTTTTATCATGCTTTTTTTTTCAAGTTAAATTTTAACTGAAAATACTAGAAAGCTATTTTCTAATTGTTTATAAAATTTCTACTCAAATCATGTTCTTTAGGGAGTTGTAATGACTAGAGTTATGTTTTGCCGGTTTATTTCCTATGTTGGTATTCGTTAGTCAATGCGGTCAATTTCTTTTTCAGTAAGAAACAGATACAAAAATGTGAACTAAATTAGTCAAATTAATATTCTCTAAAAGAAAGTCAAATTAGTAATATAAGTACTAGATGAGGAGAGCATTTTTACTCACCACTTTAATTAAAGGTGTAGCCTCACAACCCTCTTAAAAACTTGACACATGTCTATAAATCTAACTATAGTTAACCTTTTGTTTTTTGTTTTTTTATACATTATTATGAAAGAGAAAAACTTAATTAGTTCTTTTAATAAAATTAAAAATTAAAAACTAATTATTAAAAACCAAAAACCAAAAACCCAACACCACCCTGAACTCTGGCGAATCCAAAACTTATGCTCAGCTCTACCCTCTATCTCCAGGTAACCTCAATCAAATTACCTCCTGATTATGGAGCAAACATCCACCAACAGAATGGGTTCACAGAGACCCAATTACCAAAAGAAATTTTCAATTTTGATGCTTTAATAAAGGTTCAACCAGCCACTAACCAATTAGGTATTTTGTAGAGATTTGAATTTGCTCAATCTCTGCAAAACCCAACAAAAGCCAATGGCTTTGTCCAATACAATCATGCGGGTCTCTGCAAAACCTCCATTTTCTCTCTCCAAAATCCTAAAACCCTTTTGCCCCAAATCTCACGCCCAAGTCTCCATTCTCAATCTTTACCAACCTCAACTATGCATTGCAGTTTGGTTGAACTCCGAGTCCGAATTGATTCTACAAAGAGTATCCAGAAAATCACCAAAGCCATGAAGCTCGTCGAGTCTGCCAGACTGCCAGGGTTTGAAGATCCCAAGAAGCAGTCATCAACGGCCAACCTTTGCCGAGACCGTCGTGGAGGTCCTATATGACATCAATGAGAGGAAACGGGGTTTCCGGCGGCAAGAAGGAAAGGGGTTTGCCACCGGTGGGAGTGGGGTGGCTGAACAGGTTGGTTTAGTGGGTGGTGGTGCTTGGTGACTGTATGGGTTTATTTTTTATTTTTTAATTATTATGTTTTAAAGCGTAGTTATGTTTTTCTCTCTCATAATAATGTCATAAGAAAATTAAAAACAAAAGGTTAACTATAGTTAGACTTATAGACATGTGTCAAGTTTTTTGGAGGGTGGTGAGGCTACACCTTGAGTTAAAGTGGTGAGCAAAAATGCTCCCCTAGATTGGCCTGATGAGTGAAATACATTGATGGTTTCGCATTTAAGTCCAATGTAGTTACGTAGATAATTCACCAAATTTATGCTATGTTGGAAAAAAAAATGAAGGTAGATGTTAAGAGCATTCACAGTGGGGGAGTGTATATGGGGGTGTATGTTAAATATACACTCCTAGTCACTGGAATCGTCTCCAATGGGGAGATGTAAATATACATCACCACCATGGGGATGTAAAATAAAATGTATATTTACATCTATTTTTACATCCATTGCAGAGGGGACCCACCCGAAAAAAAAGAAGAAAAATGAAGAAAAGTCAACATAAAAAACTGGGACCCACGGCATTTACACCCCCCAGAGGTGTAAAGGGGATGTAAAAGTGGTTTTACACTCCTGAATTTATACCCCCCACTATGGATGCTCTAAGTATTTTTCATTTTGAGGAGATTTATAAGAGATTACTTATAAGGTGTTGTTATACTATCATTTGGAGAGAATTGCTTGGGATAAGTTTCCTTCAAGTGTGATCCCTCTTCTACCTTCCAACTTGGACAACATTCCACCATTTCCCCACACAACATGACTTAAATATAGTGAGTTTATCAATTCAATTATAGTCACCAAACATCCGATAGGCAGGCTTAAGCGGTTGATTTGTAGTTTGGCCCAACCCGTTGATCAGCTAAAGTCCCCCGCTGCCTTTTCTACAATAAAACTGGAAGAAAATGATGGGTCAAATTTTCATGCTATAAGTTGAAAGCATCCCAAAATCATCACAAAAATGAATTTGACTGACCAAAGTTATATGTTGTGAGGCAAATTCGTGGATTTTCTTCTTTGGTGAAATACAGTGGTCAGTGACAAATTGGACGGATATTAGGTTTCTGTGGAGGGGACTAGAAACTAAGGAAACGTGGGAAGTTAGAAAAAAATTACGTAGTTGAAACGTTGGCACATGAGTTTGGTGGTGGCAAGTCTTCATAAGCCTACGCTTTTGAAATTAGCACATTGGTGGTTCAGAGCAGTCAGTAAGTCATTATAAGCATGGAATGAAAATGAAGGTCTGGAAATTCTTGGTCCAAATGGGAAAGTTCATTTGATAG